TAAAAATAAATAAATTCAGGAAACCCTGAATCTTTTCAGAAGTTTAATTCATTTTTAAAATAAGGCTGTTCTCTTCACATCTTTGTAAGTTGTTAATACAATCTACAGTTTTTCTTTTTGCATGTCTTAAATTGTCTTTATTCAAATCTCACACTTAATTGATATTTGGCTGAGTATGGAAAGCTATCATAATATGAAAAGTGTTTTGATTCAGAATTTTGGAGGCCTTGTTCCATTGTCTTTTAGCAGTAATGTTGCTATTTACAAGTCTGATGTTGCCATTCAAATTCCCAATGCAGTATATACATAACCTGTCTTTTCTTCATGGAAGCTATTTGTACATGCTTTTTAAACCTGGTATGTTAAAACTTCCTGATAATATCCCTTTACACATACTCTCTTTTCAGTCATTGAATTGATATCTGGGGAATATTTTAATCTGGACATCAGTACTTTGGTTCTGGGGTATATTCTTGTATCTTTCTTTGATTATTTGATCTCCTCTTTTCCTTTTGCTTTCTCTTTATGGAACTCTTATCATTCAAATATTAGACTTTCTGGATGTTTTCCAGTTTTTTTAATTTTTCTTTTTCTTTTTTTCCCTTTTTTTACATTTTTATCTTTCATTGCTCTTTCAGAGGTTAAACTTTCTTCCAAATTTTCAGTTCAGCTTTCACACTTTAAATTTCCATGAGATTTTCTACCCTTTGATTATTTCTCTTTTTTTTTTTTTTTTTTTTTGAGACAGAATCTCACTCTACTGCCCTGAGTAGAGTGCCGTGGCGTCAGCCTAGCTCACAGCAACCTCAGTTCAGCTTTCACACTTTAAATTTCCATGAGATTTTCTACCCTTTGATTATTTCTCTTTTTTTTTTTTTTGAAAGTATCCTGTTTTTGTTCCACAGATAGAGGCTTTCATTTTATCTGTCTTAGGTTATACTCTTTTTTTCCTCACTTGCATTGTTTCTAAGTCTATTGAATCATTTCTTTTATTTATTTTGGTCTCCTTTTTATCTTTAAGAGTGATGTGCCAAAAAAAAAAAAAAAAAAAAAAGCTGACCAGAAGCTTTCTAGTAGATGGGTGAGTCTTGTTGATTGGTTGTGCTTCCCTACTGGGTGACCAGGTAGCAAATTACTTTTTCTGTTAGGGGATCCC